CATTGTGTTCTCAAGACAGATCAAAGCATTTCAGCGCGCGCGCTCGCTCAACGGGTATCACGCGCAATGAGAACTTTTGCGCGCGCACTATAGTGAATGTTGATTGCGTTGCTGTTTTGACCGGTAGCGCAGGTATCGGACTATCGTTCCATCGCCTGTTCTTCTAAGAGACCCTGTGCCCCTTCCCGTAACGCTTTCAATTGAAACCTTTCCTCCGAGAGCCAAAACCCGAGTGTCGCTGATCGCCGTAGGGTTGTTGAGTGTTGGGAGTGGGCCTCGTGTTTTTATTTGTTGGACGCTTTGTACCTTAGCTCTTATGTATTTATGTTCACACATAGACATAATCACATACACACATAGACCTAGACTACTAGACTTCAACATACTAGACTACTAGACTGCTAAACTAGACACATACTGACAATATCATCTCATGTGAGCTTCAACAAAATTTGCACCACACCACACGTTTGGAATGATTTCGACCCGTTCTGAGCGCACTCCCATCCACCAAAATCGCCATTTCAGCTGAGACCTGTCACGAAAACAGCGCTTCGATGCCACACCCTGTAACGCAAATCCCAATGGCACGGCCACATCCAACACCCCAAAAACACGGCTCTCCAAACGCTAATCCCAATGGAACTGCGCAGCAATCTGCCGATCTCACAAAACGCTGCGCCTGTGCAGCGAAACGCATCACGTTTCTCGCGCGACATGTCCTGGTCCTGCAAATCACAATGGAATAGCGGCGCAAACTGACACGTGACACGTCCATGCAAAGTCACTTGCAAAAGCTTCCCCCAATGGCAGCGAATTTGAGACGCGACGACGACGACACGACGACGAGAGACGACGACAGACGACGACAGACGACGAGAGACGACGACAAACGACGACACGACGCAAGCCATGCAAACATAGCTCCAACCCCCAGACCCCCAACTATAAACGGGAACCCTTCGCTACACATTCGGGAAAAACATAAAATTTCATGCGACCCTGCTCTGATCTAATCCTTCTCTGATCTAGGTAGTTGAATTTTTCTGTTGATAATTTTTGTTTTTCTTCAGGGAAAACTTTGCACAATTGAAGAGCCCTCAAAGCAAATTCATTATTGAGGATCACGGGCCTTCCTGGTCTACTACCTTGAAAATTTGTTTAGGAGCAATCGTTACATAAAAAGGCATGATTAGGGAATTGATGGCTTCGGGAAGCTGTGAGTTTTGAAGAAGAACTTGAGAAACCTATACTTATCAAAATCTCAGCAAGCCAACCATTGGTTTAGTAGTATTAAAAATTTCTATCTTTACTTTTCTTCGGTGAAAAACGTTGCACAATTGAGGACCCTTAAAGCAAATTCATTATTCAGGATCACGTGCCTTCCTGGTCTACTATCTTGAAAATGTGTTTAGGAGCGCCGAGGCACAATCACACGCATTCTTACATGCAGGAGGCGGAACTGTAATTTGAATGAAAAATACCATCCATGTGTCCACCCAACCACTCTGTCCTCAGCCGCAGCTTCACTTCTCCTGCGACATGTCAAGGCTTGGCTTGCTTGAGCCCCACAGGCAGAAACCACTCCAAAACCCTGCCTTCACGCCGCAGCAAGGCCACCACTCTGCTGCTGCTGCTGCTACAGAGTTTTGCCATCGAGGTCCCTGGTTCCGCGTCCCTTACTTAGCCACCCGACGATTTGTACGCAACATGTTATTTTTTCTATTGCTACTGTTGATCGATCTTCTGTCTCCTGCACCATTTCCGCCATGAACGTGGCGGCGCCGCGCACGTTTGGCGTCGGAACTGTGCAGCAGTACTCCGCGTAAGCCGCCAAGCGGTCTCCAACAAAGGACACAGGCGCCCTCCTCTACCTCCACATGCGCCACCGCTTCCAGCGCCTCGACCGCCGCCTCTGTCTGGCGGACAAAGTTCACGAGGAGGTCATTGCCCGACAGAAGCAAAATGTCTCCGTCGTAGTCGCCACCGCCAGTGCCGTGATGCCCTTTCCACGGACAGAGCAGATCACGACATTGTCTGGCAAGGGCATCAAGTCCTGGCACAGACCACAGTTTTGAAGAAGAACTATAGAAACCTATACTTATCAATATTCTCAGCAAGCCAACCATTGGCTGAGTAGTATTAAGAATTACTATGCCTATTTTTCTAATGGAAATATAATCAACCCTACATATTTTTCAGATAGTAAAAAATTAGGACACCCAAAAATTTAGCATAATAGAGGACCCTTAAAGCAAACAGGGGGTACATAATTTTTTCAATTATTTGGCATTATAGAGGGCCCTATTGCTATTCAGCATCTAACATTAGCAATGGCCCCCACCCTGGCCTCCACCCTAGCATAGCAATGGCCTCTAGAATTCGCGCCAAATTCCGCCAGCTCTGGCCCATCAATTCCGGACAGCCTTGGGAATGTCCCTGATGCGCAAGGATTCTCGGCCATAAGAAACACAACTTGGGCTTGGCCATTGGCCGCGATTGGAATGTTAAAAATTTTCCATTGACGCCCCCCATCCCACAACCTTGTAATTAGGCCTCATACCACCATTGCCTAGATGATCTGCCAGTTGTCCAACACATGGCCAGGAACACCTCTGCGTTGCCGTTCACTGGCGTGGCACAGTGAATCCCATAGCCACTAGCACATTTCTGAGAGGCCGAAAACGTTCCTCATCGTCACAGTGCCTGCGCTATTTTAATCTTGCGCATCTAGGCTTGTAGAAAGTCTAGGGAGCTACCAGGAGCAAAAGGTGCATTGTACCAGTAGTTATCACTAGTAAAGTGCCTTGCTACTAGTAGCAATTATACTAGCTACGTGATTTTTTCAGCTCGTCGCCCGCCCAGACCTCGGCACGCTGGCGCGTCGCCAATTTTTTCAGAACCTGTGGCGGCGTCGGCGTTCAACGCGCGAACCATTGCTGGCGCCCTGAACATGATCACTACTCCCTGCGGCGCCAACATATTTTACATGCCAATTTTTAAGAAAGCCAGCTGAACATAGCAAGAAGCTACTAGTAGAGGAAAGTTTGACAGCCTCGGCGGAAGTTTTCCAACATAACTGTTTTTGCATCTTGTTTGCAGCGAGATTGAGTGTGAGAGTGCGAGTGTGAGTGAGAGTGAGCCAGAGTGAGTCTGAATGTGAAAGAGTGTGAATTGCACTTCGAGGTTCACAAAGCGCTGCTCGCGCCGCGAAATTTGCGCTTCGAGGTTCGCAAAGCGTGCGCCTGCTGCGAAATCTACACTGTGAGGTTTAAAGCGCAATGCCTGCCACGAAACAGGCCTTTTTGAGCCACATGCCCAAAAGCCACGATTGGCTGGACCTGTCACGAAATCAGAGCGCCTCGAAGACCACCACCATGTCCAAAGCGCTCCGCCTGCCACGAAATCTGCCTTTCGAAGTAAAGCCGCTCCGATCCCTTGCGCCTGTCACAAAAATTCGACTTTGCACTGCAGAAAACACCGATTCTGCGACCCTGCGCAGTCGAAATGCATTTGAGGATTTCGAGAGGCGTGAGTGTACTGTAAATAGCAGCGAACTAGCCACGCACCTCTGCGCGCAACACGTCGAATTCCACACCGGCGCTCAACTACTACCGTAAGAACCCCTGTAGTGTGTCCACGCTGTTTGGGGAAAAGATTTTCAAGATAGGAAACAATCTCCAAAATAAGACGCTCTCCTGTTTCCAACATGTTATACTATTTTATGTTCTCTGCATCTGGTGTTTTCCACCATGACTGATCTAGACCATTTCCCATCTGTACCACCACTTAGCCGCTGTGGCTATAGCCATGGCAAATGTCCACCTTTTTTTGGCCGAGCATGTTTAGCCAGGACAGCTTCAAAGGCAACGATCTAAGCCCATCATAAAACCAATTCTGGGATTGATTTTTGAATTCATGGCCTCTGCAGCTGCATCTCAGGCGCACTCACCACAGTAACGCAAACCCCGAAAGGTTGCACGCAAAAGACGCAGTGACTATGGAAAACAATGAGTCAGGCTGGCGCAACAAAAAAGAATGAGTGACCCAACGTGCTGGTCCTGGTTCACAATTGATTGTTTTGTTTTGCGCCAGCCATGCCACTTGAAATGTACGTAGCCCGCGTTCGATTGTCGGTTTGTTACTGTTGTTGATGAGTCTTGCCGTGCCTTGATGCGAGAAGAGTAGCAACCTCACCGCACCACAAATGGCTAATCATATGTGACGCCGAGATTCAGGCAAGGCTGATCTGATGATAAAGCAGACCCTGCGAGCCAAAAAACAACAAGACACAAGCGATTTTCCGGAGTCCTGCAGCCCAAAATTATGATGGGCGATGCTATGAAGGAAAAAAGGGAACGTCTCCACAAGTTGCATGAAAGTTGAAAGGTTCCACCAGAATGAACAGTAGTGAGCTCCTGCCAACGCGCAGCTGGCCAGTGTCGTGGGTCTCCACGGAGCTCAACCGCTTCAGCGTCGCAGCCTGCGCAGAGCCCAAAGTCGATCAAGCCAAACTGCAAGTCGCTACCATCCACCGCCTTGGCTGCAGGACAAAAAGTTGCTGCCATGCACACACTGCCAATGAAAAAACAACGTAAACGTAACTTCGTGTGATCCTCAGCGTGACATTTCAATGCAATGCCATGATTGGGGGCATGTTGCCGTGCGTTTTGTGTCCTCGGGTTTGGGGCTGTTGTCTTAGCGTTGGGGACTTCGCGCCAGGGTTTACAGTTGGCGTCCAAAAGTGCGACCCTGTGACCCCGCCATGCAAAATGCCACAAGCTAAAGCAAGTAATTGTATTGCTGTGCTTTTTGCGGTTGCGTTTGTGGTTCGGTTTGTGGTTGGGTTTGCGTTGGTGGCAGTGTTTGTGGTTCATGTGGCTATGTTTGTGGCAGTGTCTGTGTTTGCGTTGGTTTTCTTACTACATCTTGCAAATAGCAGTCCTTCTACTTGCTTCAAGGCCACACAAACACTGCCAACAGGTTTGAGCGCCCGCCGCCTCTCCCTTTTCCCTTATCTTCTGCATGATTTTGATGTAGATGCCAGCCTCAGCAGTTGGCCAACCTATGAAGGCAGAACAAAGCGTGTTTTCAGTTGCATTCTCACGCCACTTTGGGCTTCCGCGCCTTCTTATCTGACAGCTGATCTGCGACGCTTTTGGCTTCTGCCAGTGCTTCATCGGAAAATCCGTCCTGGACCAAATTGAGCGCGTGGAAAAGCAATCCCGAAAGGCGAGATGGAAAGCTTGCATCTACAAATGGTGACGGCCTGCCTCTTGAACAGTTTGCTTTATGCTTATCAGAACCTAATAGCAATGGCCTGCAACCTAGTAGCAATGGCCTCCATTCTAGTAGCGATGGCCTCCAAGCCAGTAGAAATGGTCTCCAACCTAGTAGCGATGGCCTCCAACCTAGTAGCGATGGCCTCCAAGCCAGT